TACGATAATATTCATTGAATGATATTATATAAAGATGTATTGTATTACAATGAAATTTATCAGTTTATGATGCATCAAAATGTATTAATTTACAATGATGTTTATTGAATCATATTATATTAAAATGTATTATTTTAGAATGAAATTTATTGAATGATGTTATTTAAATTCATTGCTTTACGATGCATTAGTTTATAATGAAATTCATTCATTCATTCATTCATTCAGTGATGTTATATTATGATTCATATTTTTTTGCAATGTTTTTGATTTCAATGATAATATATGTTAGGATGTATTGATTTATCATAGAAATTTATTCTATGATATTTTTAAAATCCATTTGTTTTTTTTTGAATCATATGAAATTACAAAAAAACATGAGGATGTTAAAAAAAAATGATTTATTATTAATTTATACCAATAACAAGATTGGGTATGTTGCTTCAAAAATTATCTTATTTATCTTGAGAAAGACTTGAACAAATAAATTAATAGTTGAAAGATAAAAAAAAACTTTTTTTTTGTTTTCTTGAAAGAACAATTCTAAATTAAATTTTCATAACAATACTTACATTGAGACAATGTTAGAATGAGATATAGATGATTTATTTCGGATGAAATAATTTTTTTCTTCGTTGTTGTATACATTTACTGTATATCATTATTATATTAAGTCTATGTTATTTATGTTAGAAGATAGATACCAATTTATATCACAGCCTTATCAGGTGGCTTCGTAACCTGATCCAGAGAGAGATTCTATTCGTCATGGAATGGCGAAAGCAGTGCAGTACTCGGGAAGGCCTTTAATGAACGTAGGTTCCTGCCGTCATTATGTACGGTACACCTATGTACATTGCCATACCAGTCCAGCGTGATCCGCTCTGTGTGTACCCCTTTCATACGCATAGGGCCTCTCACTGGTCGCGCGCGCGCGCGTACGCATGAAAATGAGCCTAGAAAAGTAGGGAAGTGAAAAAGGATCAAAACTAATTTATTGAGCACGTAAACGAAAAAAAAATAATGAATTACATTTTCATTCGAATTTTTTCAAATGTTTCTTTATATTCCAAAAGATGAGGATGGGTTGAAGGTAATTTTTCTTGAGCTATTTCAACGGCTTGTTGAATATTTTTCATTGCCATACTATATTTTCGTGTAGCCAAATATAATTTTGCCATATTATGATATACAACAGCTAAATCAGGATGATTTTTTGATAATTTCTTCTCACGTATTTCTAATCCTTTTCCGAAATATGTCAATGCCGTTGAATAATCTTTCATTTTACGATAAGTTTCACCTAAATTTATATATGTCGTTGCACATTCCAGAGGATTACATTGAACATTTTCTTGAATATTTAATGCTTTTCGATGAAATGCAAGTGCCTTTTCATAATTACCCATTAATCGATGAATATCACCTATATTACTATATGTAATAGCTCGATCTGGATGATTGTCAGGTAAGGCTTTCCGATGTATTGCGAGACATTTTTCGAAATTATCAAGTGCTTTTGAATAATCTTTCATACTGCGATAAACTCTTCCTAACCTACTATATGTTGAAGCAAAAGCTGGATTACCTTCTTGAAATGCTTGTTGTTGAATTTGAAAAGCACTTCGAAGAGCCTTAAGAGCTGCGGCGTAATCACCCATTCTTTCGTAATATGCTGCAAAATTCAAGTAACTAATAGCCAAATGAGGGTGATTTTGCGGTAGAACATTTTCGAAGATTTGATGTGATTTTTCGTAAAATTCAAGTGCTTTCGAGTAATCACCCATGTTCTTATACACTTGACCGATGCAAGTGTAGGAAGTAGCCAAATGAAGATGATTCGGAGGCAGAGCTTTTTCTCTTATTTTAAGTGATTTTTCGTAAAATTCAAGCGCTTTCGAGTAGTCACCCATGTTGTTATACACTTGACCAATGCAAGTATAGGAACTAGCCAAATCGGGATGATTCGGAGGCAGAGCTTTTTCTCTTATTTTAAGTGATTTTTCGTAAAATTCAAGTGCTTTCGAGTAATCACCCATGTCGTTATACACTCCACCGATGTTGTTGTAAGAAGTAGCCAATGAGGGATGATTCGAAGGCAGAGCTTTTTCTCTTATTTTAAGCGATTTTTCGTAAAATTCAAGTGCTTTCGAGTAGTCACCCATGTTGTTATACACTTGACCGATGCAAGTATAGGAAGTAGCCAAATGAGGATGATTCGGAGGCAGAGCTTTTTTCGTGATTTCGAGATCTTTTTCGTAAAATTTAAGTGCTTTCGAGTAGTCACCCATGTTGTTATACACTTGACCGATGTTGTTGTAGGAAGTAGCCAGATCGGGATGATTCGGAGACAGAGCTTTTTCTCTTATTTTAAGTGATTTTTCGTAAAATTCAAGTGTTTTCGAGTAGTCACCCATGCTGTTATACACTTGACCGATGTTGTTGTAGGAAGTAGCCAAATTGGGATGATTCGGAGACAGAGCTTTTTCGAAGATTTTATGTGCTTTTTCATAAAATTCAAGTGCTTTCGAGTAGTCACCCATGTAGTGATACACTAGAGCAATGTTGTTGTAGGAAATAGCCATTTCGGGATGATTCGGAGGCAGAGCTTTTTCGAAGATTTTATGTGCTTTTTCATAAAATTCAAGTGCTTTCGAGTAGTCACCCATGTTGTTATACACTTGACCGATGTTGTTGTAGGTAGGAGCCAATGAAGGATGATATTCTGAAAGAGTTCTTCGATAAATTTCGAGAGACATTTTATAAAATGAAGCTGCTTCTGTATATTGCCCTTTGCCATTTTTCATCATTCCAAGCATATGATAGATATGTGCTCTATCGCTGTCATCAGATGCTTGTTCTAGTAGTGCCGTATATAATTCTTCGGCCTTGTCAAATTGACCAATTGTGAGCAGCAATTTGCCCATTCGATACCATCCAGTGCCACCTGAAGATTCTTCTCGTATACGATTGGTTAGTTGATGAAGTTGCTGGTCATCATCCGACGTAAGTTTAAGTTCCACTTCATAAAGTGGACTTTTCTTATCAATTTTTTGAGCTTCACCGATTCGAAAGACGGTGTGCATCGAGAAGAGAATTTCCTCTTCTTGTGCGAAACCACTAACCTCCTTAATGGAGGCGAAAGGAGTCGATGAGACCATGGGATCGATGGTCATTCGAAAGAGGATACCAACCATATCGGTTGCTCCTAAGGTGCTTTCGGCAAAAGCGAAGGAGACATCACGATCTGCGCTGGTGGATAAAAAATTATTGAAAGATATGAGCCCACCTTTGTTTTTTGCTAGTTTTTCGAAGTCACCTGTTGATAATCCTTGGCCCCTATAAATTATAAAGGACTTTCCATGATACTGACTGACCTGTTCGCTGTGTAAATCTTCAATTTGTCGATGAACATCACATAGATAAAATCCGATTCGAATGATAATGTCACCGTCGAGTGTTCGTAATGCTCGATTGAGCATTTTGTATATGAAGCATTGGCGTGTATACCACCATAACGCCAATGTTGGATGATAATTACGTTGAAATTCATCGATCAATTTGAGTTCCTTGGTATTGCCTTTGTATTTTTCTTGACAAAAGGTAACCAAATCTTTTATGGCTTCTTGGCCATGTTCCATATCAAGGAGTATTTCCTTGAATATTTGTGTATACATGAAGGAAGGCTCTAGCTGATTGAGATTTTCGCTAGAACCTCCTTCATTGACACCGATAATACTGACCGTTACTTGAACTTGATTGCATTGTTTGACAGCTAGTGCCAATTTTTCACAGATGTGCTTGATTGATGTATGCATACCTTTGATTTTGGGCCAATTTTTAGCCCATTCTCGGTGATGTCGCTTGTTGCCACAAAAAATGTATATGGCACCGAGTTTTGGCATGCCATGAATTTCTGGTACCAGGTGTTGTCCTAATGTACCTGAGGAGATGATAAATGATGTCTCCTCCTT